CATAAATCATAGGAAACTGTGCTGCTTTTTTTTCACAGACTACGCAGAACTTCAATCTGCATGAGACAAGAGAGCAAGCAATGATTATTTTCTACTAGGGAGAATCGTATTTGCTTAGGAGACAGCATGTACTACAAAACAAGCTTTAATCTACAGCCAGGAGTTTAATTAAATGCAGCTATTACAGCTTAGGCTGCTTCTGTTGGAAAGGTGATATTTGCCGTGACATGCCCTTAAAAGTCTAGATTTTCAACAAACCAATATCCGACTAAAGCAAGCGAGCATAATAAATGGGGTGGGGGAAATGACAGACTATTCCAATTATTACACAAGAACTAGCTCCACAAGAGGATTCAATATTTTCATCTATTAGGACAGGACCACTAGAAAATAATTTAGCTCAGACCGTTCTCTATTTGCTCTCTCTACTTTGATTATGCATGCAAACTGGAAACTCTAAATCCCACAGGGCACCAAGTGGAGTCCCAAAATCAGATCTTCATTGTCCCCATATGTAGCAACTTAGGTGGGAATTTATCAGACCTGGAGCAGATAAAATCTGGAGCAGTTGCCTATGGCAATCAATCAGCAGTTCAGTTTGCTCAGGTAAGATTTGAAAATGAGATAGAGAAGCTGATTGGTTGCAGTGCAAATCTGCTCTAGATTTTGTCTGCTCCAGTTTTGATAAATTCATCTTTGTGTTTTCTACCATATTATTTCTGATAAAAAAAGTCCAAAACATAAAAATTAAGCTTTCGTCACCAAAGGGTCAGTTTAGGAAGAGACAACCGTAGGAAGAAAGGAGGGCCTCAGCAGTACCTTATGCTTGTGAATAATCAGAAAAGGCTCTTTACACATCAAGGTCACCAATTCAGAAATATGTCTGGCATGACATTGAGGAAGGCAAGCGAGTAGGATCAGAGGGATACAGCCGAGAGGTTCAATGGTCAGGACTAAGTTGAGGTTCCAAATAGACAGCGGAGTGCGTACAGGGGGGACAATGTGATCAATCCAAATCCAAGCACTGGTCTAGGTCAGACTGAAGATAAGATGAGTCACACAAATTATTTCCTGCAATAAAACATCCTTGCTTCGCACCAGGCAAAATAAACCTTGCATGGACAATACAATGGTAGACCTTGTGGGAGGTCAACTTCCTGGCCTTTAAAAGTGTAGAAATAACAGTGTCCCAAAGGCCTTTGTCCTTCAGGACCAGAGCTTTCACGCGGTTATAGCCAGCGACTGAGGCAGGGTGGAATGCCAGCCCCTGAGACAGGAGATGTGGCGATCTGCCCACTAAGTCTTGCAGAAATGTGACCATGTCTGCCTACCACGGTCTCTTGGGTCAGTTTTGGAGCAAGGAGCATCACCAAAATACCCTCAGTCTCAATCCCTTGAAGGAATAAAGGCAAAAGTTTCAGGAGGAAGGAAAGTGTAGATCAAGATGAACAGATTCCACGGGTCACCAAAGCATCCACTGCCCAGTTTGTGGTTGGGCTGAATAACAAGAGGTCCATATCCAGTGTCTCCCACATGCGACAAAGGGTCCATGCTTGAGGCTGCAGACGCTGACAACTATGGAGGTCCACCTGCCAATTTACCGCACCTGAAATGTGTACAGCAGACACATTTGAGGCAGTCAAAATGCCTGTACCGACTACTATTTAACATCAGTTCTCTCTTGTCCTTGACGTGTTGTTTTACAGTTTTATTAAACCATATTGGTTTAGTCTTTGATCTTTTATTTTTGCTCCCTAAAGGTATACACTTTGAAATAGCAGTATGTACTGTGTTTTGAATGTGATTGGTTAATTCTGAACACAGCCACATCCCCAATTATAGGAGGGTGTGTACACTTATGCAGTCACTTTTTGTCCCCACTAAACAATTTCAGTTTGTATTTTAATAGAATTTTACAGATTATTATAGAAGTTTATTAGAAGTCACATTAAAGGTGGAAAAAGTAATTTATCTTGGTCAGATTATTTTTACATCTTAAAAACCTGGTATTTTTACAAGGGTGTGTAGTCTTTTTATATCCACTGTCATTTGGAACAGACTTAAAACTACTGGGATGTTAATATTTGAGGTTTGATAGATATTGCATAAGGAAATACCAAGAGAGACTGTGTCACACTCCTTAAGACCCCGTTCACATGTAGCGACATATCTCTGCAGCGGCCGGGATAGCGCGACTTTCGGGGCGACGTTCCAACGACAGTAGCGCGACCTTCTCAGTCGGGCTCCATAGAAAAAAAGCAAAATCGCGCAAAATCCGCCGAACAAAGGGTCCGGTAGAAGCGACTTGCAACCGCGACGAGCGACATGGAGTTAAGACAGCTCCATTGAATAGCATTGGCCAGTGACTTCTCACGATATCGCGCGGCAAAAATGCGCGATATCGCGGCAGAAATCGCGCGATAAGTCGCTACATATGAACGGGGCCTAATAGGGTCAAGAAGAGGACCACAAAAAAAATGTATTGGAATAAAAATCATGATGTTCAAAGCAGAAATATATCCAGAAGCAATCAACAAATGCTTGTTGTAATTTTATTTTCCCATGCTGCAATGGCTTTTTTTAGGGCCTGTGTCGACGGGTTTTAAGCTAGTATTGATGGCATCACTTTGGGATGCTGCCGAGATCATTCGCAATTCATTGACAATTGCAGTTGACCATCTGACCGTCACATGACCTACTTCTAGCGGCTTTTACATTCTCACAGGCTTGAATGAGAATGCAAAACCCCACTGAAGAGAACAAAAGAAAAATTACCAAGGTTAGACATGTGGTTGCCAAAATCCCACTGGAAGCTATAGTTTTAAACAGATACCCAAAGCCCAAGCTGAACCTGAGCTTGTACAGCAGAATAGAAAAGAATAAATGAACAAGTGAAACAAACATGATTAATTACATCTACTATATGAAGGATAAAAAGGACAGCAGGATAATGTTTCCTATAAAAAGCTGGAAAGAAAAATATGCAGCAATATATCCAGCCAGCACTTTAACAAGACCTACACAACCCGGTGTTCTATCAAATGTCACACTACAATGTATTAAAGTACGACATAGCCAGGAGATTCTACCAAGTACAAGGTTAGAACTTCAAACATTTAAAACTCTTAACTGTTTCTTGACAATAATTGCATCAGCATTATATTGATGTTAATGTGATGCACATTAGCAGACTGCCAACAAATTGGTTAAAAGCTCTTGGTAGCAAAAACTATTTAATCACTTGTGCAGCCTCATGCTTATATATGATAATACACCTGCAATATTAGGAACATCCATCTAAACAATTCAACAACATGCAGTCAATGAAGTTACCGCTAATACAAGGAACTGGCAAGGTGCATAGACCATTTTACAGTTTCATTATTTATCTATCTTTTACTGCTCTGTCACAATGCTGATCAACCAGTAAAAACGCCCACTGGTCATAGGCAGCAAATCCATGAAAAAGGGAGTTGGCCAAATGGGGAACAGTAAGCACAATGGGTAAGGAGTAAGATTTAATAGGGTCACAAAGCATTTTAAACCGGTTCAGAAAAAAAAAAAAAAGGACTGAAAACACAGAGGGCAGACACAATTTGATAAATATTTGTGTGTCTGTGGCTTGTTTCTAGCTTTGGTGGAGGTAATTTCTTGAAGTGATTCCATGAAAAAACTGAGAAAAATAAATCCTCCAAAGTTGGATTTTGCACCAATTAACAACCAAATTCTGGTTGGGAAAAAAAAACCCTCCTAGTGTGTGTGTGTGACCTGTGTGTGTGTGTGTGTGTGTACACCAAGGTGAGAGACTAATTCTAGTACCTTGTCCTTTTGTGTAGGGCTGCAACAACTAATCGACTAAAGCGATTATAAATCGATTGAAAACGTTGACAACTTTTTCAATCATCAATTAATCGTCTTCCAATTAGTTAGCCGCTGCACCTCCTCACGCTCGCCGCTGCCAGATCCACCTGCCCGAATCCACACCTCCTCCCCGCCTGACCACATCCACGATTGGCACAGGGACACGGGGAGAAGAAGTAAGGAGGAGCAGGTGTGGGGGGGACGACAGCAGCCGATAGACAGGCCCGATCTCAGAAGCAAGTTCCTGGAAGACTGCTCAGGTAAGCCTGCACTTTCCACACACGGTGCTCTATAATGTATTGCTGGGATTTGTATTCCTCTATAGCTGATGGTACATTGTGTTGTATATTATACAGCACAATGTACCATCAGCTATAGAGGAATACATTATACACTGTATGTATAATGTATTGCTGGCATTTGTTGTATTCCTATATAGCTGGTGGTATTCTGCATTGCGCTGTAAAGAGGACTACAAATCCCAGCAATAGTACATTATACAGCGCAATGCAGAATACCGCCAGCTATAGAGGACTACAAAACCCAGCGATAGTACATTATACAGCGCAATGCAGAATACCGCCAGCTATTATGTACTATTGCTGGGATTTTTAGTCCTCTATAGCTGATATTCTGCATTGCGCTGTATAACCTACTATTGCTTGGATTTGTAGTCCTCTATAGCCGGTGCCATTCTGCATTGATTGCTGTATAATTTTACACTTTCCATTTCACTATATTGCACACCACACTTTGGTTTTCTTTTTTACTTCCACCGCTCCAAGCTTGCTCCGGTGATGGACTACAATCTCAATACAAGCTAGCTGTCCATCACTGGAGCCATTTTTTAAAATGTATTTTATTTTTTATCCGATCAAACTCAATAATTGGCTATTATCAAGCAGTGGCACTTAATAGAATGTTAGATTGGCACTATCACACTAAAACTAAATTTTGGGCATCACTAGAAAACTCACTATCAGGACAATGTCTGTAGAATGTATGTTGGATACCACCAAAAACTCGCTATTTGGAAAGTGGTATGTCCCCTTTGACTAAGCATACTCTCGACATATGGGATCTAATCTACTAATCACTAATCTACTAAAATGACATATCAGTCTGGATGTCACAACATTTCTTAAAACTCAACCTTTCAAAAACTGAGCTCATGATATTTCCTTCACCCCGTGCACCTTCCCCCAACATTTCAGTTGTGATTGATGACACAACTATCCAACCCTCCCCTCATGCCAAGGTCCTAGGTGTCATCCTTGACTCGGACCTCACCTTTCTTCCCCACATCCAATCGCTATCCAAATCCTGCCGCCTTCACCTTCGTAACATCTCAAAAATACGCCCCTTCCTCACCAATGACACCGCAAAACTACTCATACACTCCCTTGTTATCTCTCGTCTTGACTATTGTAACTCCCTCCTCATTGGCCTTCCACTACACAGGATATCCCCCCTTCAGTCTATCATGAATGCAGCTGCCAGACTCATTCACCTTACCAACCGCTCAGTGTCTGCATCCCCCCTCTGCCAATCCCTGCACTGGCTTCCA